ACCCCCCCCCCCCCCCCAATCAATCAATCAATCACAGTCAAGCAAAAGAAGATCAACAACTCCAACAAGTTCATCCACAACATGTACTCAGAGTCTGATGAGCAATCATCCTCCTCTGGCTCCTCTGGTCTGGCTATCCTCTCGCTCAAGGGATATGGTGACTACTTCAAGGCCACCTTCCAGCCATCCTGCAGCCCAGTAAGTATATCCCATCACTACTCCATCCACTCAATCACTCAATCACTCACTTAATCACTCAATCACTATTTAGAGCTGCAATGGCAAGTACCTCCCAGTAACATTCAACGTCACTGTTGCCAATCCTTCGGCTGGCCCAGAGTCCTGGACCCAGGAGGTCACTCCAACATGCACTGATACTGATGGACAGGTTACATGTGTTGCCAACGTCAAGACTGTTCCATACCTGCCAACAATCGTCGCCGTGTCGGACATCTCTACCGCTGAGTTCCAGTGGCCATACAACTTTGTCTCGACACCAATCGTGTTGCCACAGACCATCAAGTCGATGTACGGTGTGCCCGACAACTACGTAGTTACCAACACCTCGGCCACACAGTGCGTCGTCGAGTTCGAGCAACAGTACTACTCGCCTGCTGACCTCGCCACGTTCTTTGACCAGATGGGCCTGCCCCAGCCAACTACACCCGTCAGCGTCATTGGCTACAATGACGCCACCAACCCAGGCATCGAAGCCAGCTTGGACATCCAGTATATGATGGCCGTGTCACCAGGCTCGCCAACCACCTTCTGGTCCATCTTTGCTAACTCATCCGCCGAGATCGACGACATCCTCCAGTGGGAGATCGCAGTCGGCAACATCAACAACCCACCCCTCGTCAACTCCCTATCCTACGGTATGACTGAGGAGAACGTCGACCTCTTCCTTGGCAACGGCTACCTCGCTCGCTCCGACATGGAGTTTGTCAAGTTGGCCTCACGTGGTATCACCGTCATCATTGCCTCGGGTGACTCTGGCGCTGGCGACCTCGGTGGCCCGCCCATGGGCGCCAGCAACTGTGACACCCTGCACGGTGACTGGCCCTCGCAGTCCCCCTTCGTCACCGCTGTCAGCTCGACCTACTTCACCCCACTGGCCGAGCCCATCTGCTACCAGCCCCAGTCGTCTGGCGGCATCGAGTGCCAGGACGGCCCAGTTGGCGAGATCTCCGTCTCGGTCGACCACGGCATGATGTGGACCACTGGTGGAGGCATCAGTAACACGTCAGCTCGTCCATGGTACCAGGACACCGTCGTGCCACAGTACTTTGCCACGCTGAACCGTCTCGGACTCACACCCCCAGCCAACCTGTACAACGCATCCGGTCGCTCGTACCCCGACGTTGCCACCGTGGGCCACGCCCTCTGGATCATCAACGGCGGCGAGTTCCTCTCTGTGGACGGCACATCGGCATCGGCGCCAATCTTTGCCGGCCTGGTCACCATTCTCAACGACATCAGACTGAACGCTGGCATGCCCGCACTGGGCTTCCTCAATCCACTGTTCTACCAAATTGCCAACGACCATCCCGACGCCTTCTACGATGTGATCGTCGGAAACAACCGTTGTGGAGTCACTGGCTACACACCAACCTGTTGTGATCATGGATGGAGTGCTGTCGATGGCTTTGACCAGACCTCTGGTTTGGGTCGTCCCAACATGGCTGTTCTCATGAAGGTCATTACCGAATACTTTTAATTAATTAACATCATTACATTCATTCAACCAATCAATCAATCAATCAATCTAGTGGGATGGTTGAAAGATCTAAACTCAATCCGTTAACTGCTCCAATACAGTGAATGATCATGTTTGGTCCATGTTTGGCGGTGGGCTCCAGGTTGAGAGGTATCTGGATATAGGACACATTGGGATAATTCTCTTGGACACCTTTGTATACTATTTGACCAACAGGTGTTAGGTTCTGGAAGTATACATGCTGGTAGTCTTGCCAAGGTAGTCGATCAAGGTTGGCTTGTTGGGCATCCACTTGAGCCTGGATGTTGGGAAGGTCGTTGCGGCAATATAAGTATACATTATTACCCAGTCTATCAAATAGGATGCCAGACTGTGTTTGAATATCTGTTGTTCCCATCCATTGACACATCTTTCTATGAAGGTAGTCTAACTGATTGGTCTGACCTGGTCCATAAGGACGTACTTCAACCACAAAGTCTGGAAGGGTAGTGTTGGCCATTGTATCCTTCATCTCCTCTGATACAAGGGCCCATCTAGTCTCAGTCATGAATGCCGTGGATGGATGACTAACTCGAATCAGTTGATTAGGATGTACTATAAATAAGATCAAATTCTATGTTACTTACAACTTCATTGTGACACCATTGATCTCGAATCGATAGGCACTGGTCACATCAAAGACACTTCCGATTATATGTGTGAAGGGTGGACCTTGGATATCCTCATTGTTGTTCTCTTTAATGTTCCAATTACCTAGTTGACGACCAAAATCTGATCTCTGCATACCTGGTCGACAACCTTTATCTTTGATCCAGAATATGCTTCTACCTTCAGACTCTAATATATGATTATAATTGATATCCTCAATCTCGGAAAGAGGATTAAGAGAGGAGTGCTCAGAGGGAATAAGAGGTGAGATATAAATTGGTGTTGCAACTGGTACTTTGATCTTATGTATTATCTGTGGATCAAAGTCATCAATTGGAACATCTTTATTCAACTCTACAAATTTAGAATATGATGAATTGTTATACTTCCAAGGTAATTTAATACTATAATATTCATTATCATCCATGTTATTATTAATAATATTATCTGTTAATGGTCATTGGAAGTGCAACAAATAATAAATCTTTTAAAATAATTTGATTAATTGATTGATTGAGTTATCCCCTCAACGTCCAATACCTAAACAAGTAAATTAATAAATCTACAATGGTGTTACCTGTACTTCATTTAGTGTCCAAGTCGCTGAGGATCGATCCTTAGAAACATGTTGGGATTTGAGTTTGATAAAATGACGGGCATATCCTTCTAAGATAAACAGACGAAACATGTAGCAAGAACGTAGTTACACAGATACATTTATACATTTACATACACACAGACAATGATGAGATTCAATAATTCATTAATAATTATGATACTCAACATGTTGGCTGTTGTAGCTGTGGTCTTTGCTACAACGACCTCGGTATCGGCAATGACAACAATGAATGTTGGTTCAACAGCTTCTACTGCCAATAGTTATGTTGCAGCAATAGTCGAGTACTCACCAATTGCCTATGCATTCCCTAACAATGTCACACAAGACATTGCCGTTCAATACATGTTACAGAATGTCATGCAGTACAAGGTAAGATACATCTCAGCATCATAGTAGTGACTTGCCTTGCCCCTGACCCAACTAACATCATCCATCATTCATTAGCAATTCATTACACAAGCTGTTGAACAAAAGGCACAGATCATTGTGTTCCCAGAGTATGGTATCACTGGTAACAACTTTGCAAACAGTCGTGACCGTGCTTTCTCCTTCATGGAGACTGTCCCATATCCCGATCCCTTCAACCCTGTACGTATAGCACGCCACCCAACTACGAGCAACATCTAACCTTTCAACAAACGATAGATCATCCCATGCGACAACACCGACACACCGATACTAAATGCATTGAGCTGCATGGCACTGGCCAACAAGATTGTGGTCGTTGTTAACATGGCCGATGTACAATATTGCAACACAACTAATGATGTTAACTGTCCATCGGATGGAAGATATCAATTCAACACTCAAGTGGCATTTGGTAGCAATGGTGCAATCATTGGACGCTACCACAAGTCTCATCTCTATAGAGGCGAGGCACCTGTAATGGACCAGCCAATCGTGCCCGACATTGAGATGTTCACCACCGACTTCAACGTCACCTTTGGCATGATGATCTGTTTCGACATCCTATTCGAGGAGCCACAGTCGACATTGGTGGCCGCAGGCGTCAACAACTTTGTCTACTCTACCGAGTGGGTCAACGGCAACTACGCATACGCCCGTCAAATCCAGCAGGCAATGTCCTATAACTCACGCTCCAATGTGTTGGCATCAAACATTGGCTCGATCAACATGATGAGTGGATCGGGCATCTTCTCCAATGGCCAACCGATGGCCACATTCTTCAATCCAACATTCAGTCCACAGTCGCATCTGGTCGTGGCAACGGTGCCATCTGACCCCAGCTCTGTCCAGGCACAACAACTAAGTACCTTCTACTCGGAGCCCCTGTGTAGCGATGATCAGCCACCAAAGGTCAACATGAGACCCAACTACTCTGGTGTCCCTCCCAACACCTTCAACTCCTCATTCACCATCTTCAAGCCAAGCTCCCACCAATCCAATATTGCCCTACAGTCTGAGAACAATGGATTCGTCTGCAACTTGAAGTACTCCACAAAGTAAGTGTCCCTAGGAGCGAGCATCGCGTCCTTCGTTCCCCTCGCTAACTCACCAATCAATCAATCACAGGGAGGTGCCAGGCGACCAACACTTTGCCGTGGTCAGCTTCAATGGCTTCTTCAATGGACATTGGAACGCTCAGATATGCATGGTGGCCATCTGCCTGGATGATACAGAGGCAGGATGCTCACAACTGGTGTTCAAGAGCAAGACTGTGTTTACTGACTTTGAAATGTCGGCTGCCATCTCTGAGGGCTACAACGTCAATGCGATGATCTACTCTGAGAACGTGATGTCCAACTACTACCAATCATACGATCCAAACACCTACACATTTGCCATCACTGGTATGAACGATCCAATGATCTCTGCCAGCATGTTTGCTCAACAATGGACCAATGTCACGATGACCACCATATCAGCATCGACCTTCTCCGCCAAGCCATTCACATCAACATTCCTTGTAAGATAAATAGAACCATTGGACGTCCGATTGATTGATCAATGCTGTTATGGTTGTTGTTGTAGTGATACCTCTTTTTATTCTAAACTAACTGCTGTGGTATGACCTGGACCTTATGTCCAAGCCAATCACATTTAACAACATCCAGACTTCTGTGCGGCTGGCGCGCCAGATGCCACGTCCACCTTATTCGCAGGCTGTCCCATCTTTATGCCAAAAGTCTAGAGAAGTACGTGGTTCCATGTTTGTTAGTATATCGCTATATTATGCCCAACAACAACAACAACAATAACATACCTCATTATTGATGTCAAACTCTCCTTTTTGGATCTTCTCGTATATCTTCTTGGCAGTGTTTAWTGAATGCTTCCTCGACGTTGGTCGCAGTCTTGGCAGAGGTCTCTAAGAATATCAAGCCGTTCTCGTTGGCAAACTGCTCACCTTCTTCATATGACACTGCTCGCTTCTGTTCCAAGTCCGACTTGTTTCCGATCAATATGATTGTCATGTTATTGTTCGCATAATATCTAGCCTCCTCTATTATTGTTGGTGATTGTGTAACATGTCATGTAGTCAGTATATCATGTCCTGTCCAGTGATGTGATGTCCACATTTACATACTCAGCCAACAAGTGAGATGATCGAATGTCTCACGCCTTGTAATGTCATAAACAAGCAAGGCACCAGCTGAGCCTCTATAATATGATCTTGTGATTGACCTGAACGACTCCTGTCCAGCCTGTTGTGAATGTGAACAAACTAGATGTTAATGTCGTGTCGCCTTGTTGTGGATGACTAGGCAATCTAACTTACTGTATCCCATATCTGTAGCTTGATTGGTTTATTATCGATATTTATCATTCTGGCACCGAACCTATGTTGAGTGACAGATTGAATGAGTAAGTGAAAGAGTACTTGTTGCCGTACCAGTCATATACATACTCTACACCAATGGTCAAGTCATGAACAGGTTGAAACCTCTTATCGGTGAACTGTAGCAGCAGACATGATTTGCCAACACCTAATATGTTGTGTTAAGTACATTAAGTACAGTACAGTGTCAGTATCAGTATCGATCGATTCCTGTGCTGTTAGGACATGTCACGTGACAACTAGACATGAGTCCGACTCATAGTAATATTATTATTGTTCTGCTGTTATTGTAGTTGTTTGAATTGATTCAAAGACATACCAGTATCACCAATGACAATGTATTTAAACAAGAAAGCGTACATTACTTCTTCTGTTCTATCTATCTATCAATTATCTATGCTTATAAAATATATATATATTAAGTGTAATTTAAACTTATTCAAAGTACTTTGTTATTATTGTCTATTATTAATTGTCAATCTATCTACAATATTTATCTATCTATCTATCTATCTACATGTACTACAACAACAACAATAACAGACAGGGCCAAGAAGAAGAAGAGAAGTGTTTGTAATTTAAGATTGTGTGTGTGTTGAGCTGGCTGGAAGTTAACTTTCATTCCATTCATGTCCTCAACTTCCAACAACCACACTCACAAAACATATAAATTAATTATGAAAAACAAATGAACACGAAGCTGACTTTGACACTCGAGAATAAGAATGCGCGCGCTCATTTTCATAGTCAGTTAACTCTTTGTATACATTTACATGTACAGTTACATGTAGAATTCAATCAATCAATCAATCAATCAATATAGTTACATACCTACACATACAAACGGAGAGATCTAACAACAATGAGTAGAAAGAGAGGTTTGGATGAGGAGGAAGACAGCAGTGATGATGGTGATGAATCAATCAAGCGCACAAGGACTGCCGTCAATCAGATGCCAACACAGGTGGACTTTAATATGGCCACTCCATCACAGAACCAACAACAACAATCGTCACAACAGGTTCAATCATCACAACAACTACAAGCAACAAAGGCATATATCAAGGGCAGCATTGTACGTGTAAAGTTAACAAACTTTGTAACGTACACTGAACTAGAGTTCGTTCCCGGACCACGTCTGAACGTCGTGATTGGCCCCAACGGCAGTGGCAAGTCATCCATCGTGTGTGCCCTGGCACTAGGCCTGGGCGGTGGCCCCGCACTTCTCGGCAGAGCCAAGCAAGTGAGCGAGTTCATCAAACATGGAGAGGAGCGCGCAATCATCGAGATCGAACTGTTTGTCCCCACGGGCAACGTCACAGTGCGACGTGTAATCAGAAAGGACAACAGCTCAGAGTATCGTGTCAATGGAGCCAAGGCCACTGCGCAAGAATTGCACGAGAAGATCAAGGAGCTCAACATCCAAGTGGACAACCTCTGTCAGTTCCTGCCACAGGACAAGGTTGTCGGCTTTGCCAAGATGACGCCCACCGAGTTGCTTGTCGAGACCGAGAAGGCCATCGGCCTCTACGATCTCTATGACAATCACATGAAGCTTATCGAGTCCAAGAAAGAGTTGGGCACAATCAAGAGTGTATGTTGTTGTTCGCGGGAACCATTCCACTCATTCAATCACATACTCATTCAATCAATCAATCAATCACACTAATACAGAAACATACCAATCAAGCAACTATATTGGAGGACGCAAAGAAGAGGAATGAGAGTTTGGAGAAGGAGGTGGCGATGTTCCACGAGAGGAACAGGATCTTGGAGAACATTGAGAACTTGAAGAAGAAGAGATATTGGGTGCTGGTGGAGAACGCCAACTCAGAGTTCGAGTCGGTCAAGCAGGAGAAGGCCAAGGCAGACGTCTCACTAGATGAGCTCAAGCGCGAGATCGTCCCTCTGGAGAAGAAGGCCGGTGCCGCCAACCAGGCCATCCAGCGTCTAAACAACGAGTACCAGGCCATGTCAGATACGATCAGAGCACGCGAGACGGACATGAGCAAGAAGAACGCGCCCATGACCAAGATAAGCGAGCAGATCGACACGCTGCACAACCAGCTGGACAGTCTTCAGAAGCGTGGCGAGGAGCGCAAGAACGAGATCGCCAAGCTGACACAAGAGTCACAGCGCATCCAGTTGCAGATCAACGGACTGGCGAGCGAGGATTCAATCCGCGAGAAGATCGACGAGAAGAATAAGGCGATGAAGGAGCTCAACGTCCAGCAGGGCAACCTCAAGTACGACCTGTCCACAGCCAAGAGCCAGGTGGAAACGCTGAACCGCGAGATGGAGCAGACCAAGCAACAGCTGAATCAGCTCAACAACATTCAGGCGCGCAAGCTCGATACAATCAAGCGCGAGGTGCCCGACGTCCACAACGCTTACGTCAACATCCTGCAGCGCAACAAGGACAAGTTCCGTCGCCCCGTCTACGGACCGATGTGCGTGGAGATCAACGTGCAGAACCAGGATCACGCCAAGTACCTGGAGAGCCAGTGCCCGTTCTGGGTGCTGATGGCCTTTGTCTGTCAGACCAACGAGGACAGTCAGCTGTTCAAGCGCGAGCTTGAGAACCAAAAGCTTCGCGGTATATCCGTGCTGTATCTGCCTCGCGACTCTCACTTCAACCGCGAGTTTAGCTTGGAGCCTCTCAAGAAGTACGGCATTGAGTGCTTCCTCGACCAGACATTTGAGTGCGAGAAACCAGTCCGCGACGCTCTGCTGGACAACGTGGCGCTCTACAATGTGGTGGCTGGCACACGAAGCACCATTGGCCAGGAGGAGGCACTTCTGCGCGACACCAGCATCACCAGCTTCTTCACCCCCTCCAAACAATATGCGCGCTACAGATCCAAGTATGGCGACAAGTCACAGAGCACCAAGGTCTCGCTGATAAAGGAGTCCAAGTTCCTGTCGGGTATCAATCTGCAGGAGAAGGATGATCTGAACCAGCGTCTGCAAGATATCCAGAGCAAGATCACTGCGGCCCGCGAGAAGTTTGGCGAGATTGAGTCACGTGAGCGCGAGTTCCAGAGACAGCAAAAGACGCTGCACGAGGAGAGACAGGTGCTGAGTGCGCAGATCGAGGAGCGCAAGAAATTGTACAGTAGGATGAACAACATCACGAGGAAGATTGATGATATGTCCACAGAGGAGAACACCGTGCAGGAGGCCGCCGGCATCAAGAAGCAGATAATGTTGCTGCACAAGAGAAAGGTCGAAGTGCTGAACGACATTGCCGACATCCTGATAGACATCACACAGTACAACTACAAGCGTGATCTTCTGCTCCTCAAGAAGAGCAGGGAGGAGGTCAAGTTCCGCAATGAGAACGCCAAGCTCGAGGAGTTGAAGGCCAAGTACGCAGACATTGAGCACCAGAACAGGAGTAGTAAGTATCGTGGAACAGACGCGTAATCACAAGGGTCACTCACTCATTCATTCGTTCATTCACTCCCATAACATAGTTATTGACAGGTTAAACATTGCCAGACGTAACCTGCAGAAGGCGAAGGATGACGCCACTAGGAACGCTGCCATCACTCCAGAGTTGTCAGAGATCATGGAGGATGTATGTTATGTTTTGTCCCTAACACTATCCATCCCATCACTAACATATTACCCATAATCAATCACAGTTGCCAGACACATTGAACGACATTGACGTCGAGATTGAATCACAAGAACACTCGGCTAAGATGAAGGGCAATACCAATCCCAAGGTCATTCTCGAGTATGAGCAGAGACAAAAAGAGGTATGTTGGCAAGCACGATGGAGACAAGCCGAACGATCACGCTCAGCGACTGACTAATCAATCAATCAATCAATCAATCATTTAGATCGAACAAATGGAAAGGAATGTTGAGAATCATCACAACTTGTTGGAGACACACTTGGCAAAGATGGAGGAGTTGAAGAAGGACTGGCTCATTCCAGTGGTGGAGTTCATCAAGGAGATCAACACAAGGTTCACAAAGTTCTTCTCAGCGATTGGATGTAATGGTGAGGTCATTCTTGGTCACGACGAGACCGACCCTGACAACTTTGAGAAGTACAGTATCGACATCAAGGTCAGGTTCAGAGACGAGGACCAGCTTAAGGCACTCAATGCCCACGTGCAGTCTGGAGGCGAGCGTTCAGTGTCCACTATGCTTTTCCTCATCTCTTTGCAGGACCTCACTAGTTGTCCGTTCAGAGTGGTCGATGAGATCAACCAGGGTATGGATCCCAAGAACGAGAGAATGATCTTTGACCAAATCGTCAAGACCGCCAACCGTCCAGGTCTGCCACAGTACTTCCTGATCACACCCAAGCTGCTACACGACCTGGAGTACTCCCAGAACACCACAGTGCTCTGTGTCTTTACTGGACCATGGCACGTCAACCAAGCGGAATGGGACAAGCAATTCAAGCAGGCGATTCAAAAGAAGCTGGAGATGAGCCAACGTCAAGCACAAGCCAATGCTGCTGCTAACTAAAACTCTGTCATTTATTATTATTAATACTACTAGTAGTTGTCGTATCTTGGGAAGAGAGGTGATCGTTCACTCTTTGAGGTGATCACTGCGCCAATAGACGATGATTGTTCGTACAAGTCATTGCCATTGCCATTGCCGTTGCCATTGCTGATTCCAGCGATAATGGGTCGTGTTGGAGGAGTCTCCTCATCCATCTCATTCTCGTAAAGGTTGTTGACAAACTCTGCGCTGTCATCTGTTGCCTGCATCTTCTGATGCCAAATATAGAGTTGCATCAATGTTGGAATGATATCAGGAATGAAGTAGCCCATTGTTATGAATAACTCTTGATTCATATACTCTCCAGTGATTGGATTGTACAAGAAGATAACAATCCTGATGAGGAAACATAAACAGAATGTGGCAGAGAGCAGTAACATCTTGCGCAACTGGTTCTTTAACTCTCCACTTCCAATATCCTTATCGATTGACTTGTACTTTGCGTAAGTCTGTACCATAATGACCACGAATAGCAATCCAATCAGTGCGGATAACAATACTAGATGGATCGAATGAGTGAGTGAGTGAGCTGGCAGACATGTTTGATTGATCAAGTGGATGGACATACCTTGGTATAGGGTGTTGACTAGATAGACCTTGCTACCTTCCTTCTTGGCATGGTTTGATGTGTAGAATACAATGATAAGAATGAACTGTACAGTGTACATGATGACATTGGCAACGATGTAACCAGTCTTCAAAGCACTTGAAGATGTGAACTCGGCCGATGAGAAATAGGTCCTATAGTATGTCTCCATCCAATAGAACACCAACACGATCAGGCCAGACATATAGAATATGAATGACATATTGTTAAAGACAAAGGTGAATGATGTCTCACCATAGACCAGTTTAAGAGTGTACCATACTATGCGGACTACATTGATTGATTGATTGAGTGAGCGAGTGAGTGAGTATAGAGTGATGGCTTGGCATGGGATGGCATGGACTTACATGTTACAAATAAGAAGATGAATGAATGGAAGAGCTGATTTGTGGATTGAGTGATTGATTAGTGAGTGATCCATGAAGATGATGACGAGGTGATGCATACCCTAGAGGTGACAGCCAGCTCCCTCCTCTTGAATGATTTGACGAAGGAGAATACACATATACAGCCAAGTATAGAGTATGAGATGATTGCCAATATCTCAATGAACTCAAACAGTGCTGTCATGTTGTTGGACGACTATATTCTATTGGTGCTGCTGTATCCTGTTGCCTATAATACCTTGGCGTCATACCACATGGATGGAAGGAAATAAAAATATTATATCTATGTTGTGGTCAGACAGATGATTATTACTGTTTAAGTAAGTTGGTGTTGGATGGATGTTGCTTGAATTGAAATGTTGGATGATCTGATTGTTTGATCACTCACGCTGTACTAGTGATGGGTGGGGGTGGACCAATCTGATCAGAAATCTTTGAAATGAAGGACATCTTGACAATGTTGTGTTGAGTCTAGGACCAAGTCATCGGCATGGTTCATGACCCTGAGATCAACAAGTCCACCTCATATCTAATTCGTATTTGTAACCATCACAAACGATAACTTATTAATACTCGAATGTCATTTTAATATTAATAACTAACTGCCTAACTAAAGGGTATGTTGTTTAATGAAGAATAGATTAGATTAATTAATTAAAGCTTGTTGACTACGGTAACAGGCGTCAAAGATGGAAACAGGACCTCGAAAGAAGTAGGCAACTCTTTGATGATGTCATCGGTGATGGTGGAACGTCTGTTTTTTACAAAGGCCTGGTTGGACGCTTGTCGTAACAGGGAGCAGCCAGCAAGGGCGGCCATTGTGAGTGGTGAGGTGAGCGAGGTGTTGGAAAGTTGCGAATCGATGCCAGACTCGGCGGCTTGCTTGCTCTTGAGATGAGTCCATGCGAGGAATGTGCCAATGGCGCCTGCCAGCACGTCGCCCTGGCCTCCACAGCGTCTTGGCATTCCCTCTAAATTACAAATGATCGTGGAGTTGGCTCCATCAGTAATTGTGTCCTCCAATCCCTTTTGAACGATCACTACATTTCCCAAACTGTAATGGTATGGTAGGTAGGTGGTGAGTCAATGTGTGTCCGTCCCAAGATAATCCAGTGTTTGTCCAACATACCTCTTGGCCATGGACTCTGGCGTGATGATGGCGTTGGAGGTGTCCTTTGTCAACTCTTTGACGCTATCGGATAGGGCTCTATATTCAACAAAGTTTGGCGTAAGGATCACCTTCTCATAGCCTTGGATCAACTCTAGATTTGTACAGACTAAACGGATTGCATCCTACGATATTAATGATGGTTAATGATGTTAGTAAAGGATGTCACGTGATTGAATTCGATCACGTGATCGATGTCACGTGACATGATTATTGTCACGTGACTTTAAGATAATTAATCCACATCAATATACTAACTACATACACCGTCCAATACCAATGGAATGTTTATGCTTCTAGCGGTCCTTATCACCTCTTTGGCGCAAGACCATGCAACCTCTGATCGTCCCAGACCAGGTCCAACGATCAACACATGGATGCTCATTAGCCATGGTATAATACTTGATGGATCCATCTAAACAACACGATAAGTTAGCATATACTCCATACTACTTCTACTACTATTACATACATCATTGGAGAGAGGATGCACGATTAGCTCTGGTGAGAGAGTCTTGATGGCAGTTGCCGTGCCGCCCTCTGATGGAGCAAAGATGTGGCAGATGTCACTACCGATACGCAGTGAGCTGATACCAGCAAAGAATGGTGCACCTGTGTACTCTTGACTGCCGCCCAAGATTGCAATGCGGCCACATTGTCCCTTATGCAATGAGTTGTTCAACTCTGGTATGTATTTAGTGAACTGTTGTAGTATTTGTTGTTGTGATGACATTGTATTTGTAGTTGTTGTTGTAAAGCAAAGAGTGAATAGAGATGATGATGGACTAAACAAACGTCTTCTGATACCTCGACCAATGTTGCTCCCCAACATCATCATGGTATGATGTATTAGTATGTTTATCAACTGATCAAGTTTGAAATTAGTGAATTTGGCGGGAAGTCAATGTCGTGATCACATTGTTTGATCGAACCCTCTGATCGAACTCCGCCCCTCCACTCGCCTCCACTGATCACAAGTCACTACCCCAAAGGTTAACCAATCAACTGTTGAATAGTATACTATTTATTACATACATATATGATCTAGATGTGAATGTATAGTCCTGGATCAGGAAGAAGCTGTTCCATCAGTGGTGTGTGAGATAGCGATAGAGATATTGATAGAGAATAATGAACCATTGTTGTGTTGTGTTGAGTGTACATTTGGTAAACAATACTTCTTGATTGAGTGAATGAATGAACGAATGATTACTTGGCAATCATCTTGGCAAACTCCTCATAGTTGATCTGTCCATCTCCATCGACATCAGCCTCCTTGATCATCTCGTCAATCTCAGTCTCTGACAACTTCTCACCCATGTTCAACATGGCCTGACGCAACTCAGTCTTGGTGATGAATCCATTTCCATCAATGTCAAACACCTTGAATGAGGCACGGATCTCGTCCTCCTTGTTGACACTCTCTGTAAGTTTGCTGCTGTTGGACACCAGAGGATAAAGACAGGACAATGTTAGATTATATATTCATCAAACGAGCATTCATCAAACAAACAAACATACCTTGTCATCATAGCCAAGAACTCTGGGAACTCGATCGAACCATTGCCATCGGCATCAACCTCACTGATGATGTCTTTCAGCTCCTCCTCAGTTGGGTTCTGGCCCAACGACTTCATAACAGCACCCAACTCGGCAGTTGTGATATGTCCATCCTTGTTAGTATCGTAGAACTCGAAAACCTTCTTGAACTCTGCTACAGTATCTGGGTCAGTCTAAAGTAAGTAAGTAAGTGACAGGTTAGTTTGAGTTTGAGAGAGTTGTTAAAGTTGATTGATTGATTGATTGATTGAGTGAGTTTATGTTTATAACATACCATATTTGAATATTGTTATATATGTTATATGTTAGAAAAGATAAATATAATATATGTATAATAGTCTTTCTTTCTTGTGTGTTTATTTATAACCTGTCTGAGTTGACACTGTTTGATGTCACACTTTCAGAGCTGCCACGATCTACAAAGAGGTGTGGGGTGAAGAAGGGTGTCAACCCTTCAAATAATAAAATTGATTTTATTGGTGATGAAAAGAGGCCTTTTGCCAGTGTGTCAACTTGCACACCAGTGTTAAGTGCATGTCAAAGGTTTGAGAAATTAATTAATCATAGAATAATAATTAAATATATATATAATAAATAATAATAAAAGTTAGGAAGTGTTACAATTTCAAAAGAAACAATAGTACTTTCATTATAGAATGAAGGATATGATAAGTAAGATCTTTGTTCACTCCCTCAAATATAAATTTGATCACTCACGAATCCAAGCAGGTGGTTGAGTTTGTGTGTTGATAACAAATCATAATCACAACTTGTAAGTCTGAGTTGTAAATTAAACAATAAACACTATTAAAGCCCTTATAAATTATAATTATGTGATTACATGATTCAATCAATGAATAATGCAACCAAATTTATATATCAAATATTTCTATCCTAAATAGTAATAATAATAATATTAATAATATAAAACATTTAAATAATATGTCCTCGACGATTGATTGTATGACAGTTGGTGATTCCTATGTAGGAAAAGTAAGTTTACTTTAAGTACTTGTGGAGTTATTATTAATAATAATAATAATAATAATTTAATAACGTCCCTATAGACCTTTTTTAGTAGAGCATGTACAAATAGACCATTTGAAGTAGTAGGTGCAACATGTTGTATTGATAACTGGGGAATCAAATTTCCAGATGGTCGAGAAGCATTGATTTGGGATACAGCAGGTCAGGAGAAGTTTGAAGCAATGATACGTATTTACTTCATGAATAAGCATTTGGTATTCTTGGTATATGATGCTACATCCAGATCATCATTCGATCATTGTCAATATTGGGCCAACAAAGTTGAACAATTGTGTAACATGGCTTATATCAAAGTGTTGGTTGCAAACAAGATTGATATTAAGGAGTATCGATGTGTTACCAAAAAGGAAGTAATGACCCTTGCCGCGGAACTTGGGTACATGTACCTTGAAGCAGATTCCTACACAACAGAAGGTCGCAATAATGTATCAAACGAGTTTGTCAATCTAGTCAATCAAACATTTGACTTCATATCTAATATGGAGGCAGAAGAAGAAGATGATGGTGATCATGGTCATAACGATAAAGATGAAATAGTAGATTATCAAACTATTAATCGTCTAACATCATTCAAACTACATACACAATATGATTATCAATCACCTGTAATCTACAATCCTAACATCAACAACCACAACAATAATAATAATAAGAATAGCAGACCTAGGAGAAATACAATGAAAGTGGAACCTGAGAAAGTGATTCTAGAGGAGAAGAAGAAAGAGAAGAAAAGTTGTTGCGGTAAATAAATATATTAACAATAATGTTGTTGTAATACTATAGTATTATCTGAATGAACAGATATTAATTGTTTGATATTTTTAGGATAAACAACTGTTCTTGTACTTTTCCTCGAGATCAAGAAAAATCTGTTGATCTCGAGGATGATGATAATTCTTGAGTTACTGTTGTTTATACAACTGAACATGTAGTAATGTAGATATAGATAATGAATGGCAAGAACTAAACAATTCAATCCAGAGGCACATAAAAGGGTATTGAAGGATAGGGAGAGACTTGAAAAAGAGATCATTCTACTAAGTCTAAGAGATGCCATTCAATTGGAGTTTGAAACGAGTTTGAATGTAATGTCAAACTCAAAGGTATGTATATTCAATCAATCAATCAATCGATCAATCGATCAATCGATCAATCCAATCATTAATATTGTTTAACATTGAGTAGAGAGGTGGATATAAGATGGATAATGTTGTAATTGAACATATATTCAAAGATGGACTATTCTTGATCAATGTTGCTGATTTGATAAAGAGAATGAAGGATGATGTTGCCAACTCATTCAAGTCAAGATTGTTTGTTGATATCTCAAACAAACATGATAGTGGTACACCAACACTATGTCAACACACTGATCAACATGTGAAGGAACTACAATTGATAACAACGATCATCATCAGAAATCTTCAGAATGAGGCTACAATGAAATATCTTGAACGTCTTCATTTGAATGATGAGGATGGCGATGACCCCGAGGTATTCCTCACATCAATCTACCCTCCAATGGTGTTTGGATACCTCTGCAACTATCCCGTCATTCATTGCAATCATGGAGAGTGGACTGAGACCTGTGTCACGGCCAAGACAGAGATGATAAGAGTCATCGCAGAGCTATCACACGTTAAAGACAGCGACGAGGGTGTCCATCTACCAAGGCAACTGCTCAGCTTCACATATCCGGAGGCATTTGCAACTCATGCCGAACCATTCGTCAACAGTTGGAAGCTTGCGTTGCAGTCCAAGTGGGACAGTGCGGTCGATCAACGAAAGGCGAACCTCTGGGGCGACATGTCAATATCAGTGTCAAAGGTTACAACTGCGCCCAAGGAGCACAAGTATGTCAAGGATGATGGCAAGAAAGACAGGGTTGAGCCCTATCGGCACCTTAAGCCATCCGAGTCTCGCAATGATCTGGAGGAGTATCCATCTGTATTCTCAATTAACTCCACCATGGTGGATGGACATGGAGTGGACACAATCATTCATTCATTGATCAACATACCCGATAACATCTTACTAAACATCATCACGGTGTTGTGGAGAGGATGTATCAACTTGGTATCATGGAGAAGGTGGTGTCTTGGTCTGACATTGGTCTCAAAGAAGATTCATCGGTTCATTGCCTCGCGTCTCAATGACTCGATCCAACTGCACAAAGAAGAAGATCTTGTTAAACTGCTCACAGATCACTTCCAGCCCAGTTCACATCCAACATCAATGATTCAGAGACAGCTGTCATCATTCATAATGCAGAAGCATGTCCACTCTATGCTGTTGAAGCCACACAAGTCGGCCATCACAGAACTACTTGGACCTCAAACAAACACGATAATCGCCACTGCCCAATTGATCGAGTATGCAACCAGATTCACTCGTCTCGACTCGTTGAGTAAGCTCAAGATGTACATCAACACCGAGTTAGACCTTGACAATATCACCAAGATCGCCACGAGATTGGAAGTAGCCAATGCTCACTTGGACAAGCTTGAGGTACACATTAGTGGTGGAGGATATGCGATCACGGAGAGTATTGTCGATGCCTTGCTGGAGTTCATATTCAAGAGCTCAGCGTTCAACAATATACATTCGCTCAAACTTCGCTTTGAACGAGGAGTGGATCACCAGGTTCTTGCGTTCATGTCCAAATTGATCGATGCACTGCGCAATCGCCCTTCAATCAGATCATTTGGCATCCATCATCAAGGATGTGACTCATGGGAATTTGAAGGATTCTGGAAAGAGCCACGCGATGTCGTCCTCCAAAATCTGTTGGACTATCTCAAGTCAACAACTACACTGGAGACGCTAAAGATCAACTACACGCTCAATGAGGAGTTACTTACATTCCTACTCCAGTCTCGGGACTGCTCAGTCACTAGACTCAAGGCTGGCCTTGGCTCATGTAATATACCAATCACACGAGAGTTGGAGTCGATTCACATCTGTTCAAAGTCAGCCAAATCAATACCAACCGATGAATTCCTCAGCTCACTCAACAGAGTCGATCGCATAAAGATACAAGGATGGATCCCAAGAGTTGTGGCACTCAACAATCAATCAACTTCTTTGACTGTTGACACGAGCGCTTTGATCAAGAAGGAGCAATTGGACGAAGCACTACAAGAACTACAATCCAACAATACTTTGAAGTATTTCTATGACCGCTCTACCAAGCTCACAGATGGACACGCTCTATTCGCCACCATAATCCATAATCATCAATCAATCATCAACAAGAGGATATGGTATATTGGAAGAAAGACCTATCCATGGCCATGTTATGGTGAATTTGAATAGACTGTCTGTCGTCCAGTACATGTAATAATACATCCATTATTCATTCAATCAATTGGCGCACCCATATATCTTGACCAATTATTTCGGTCCACTCACATATCTTGATCATATATCTTGATCAATTAGTTCACTAATATTACTTTATTCATTTCCCTTGTCCAAAGATAAATATTAATTAATGTGAGGGTATGTCTGAGAGGGTATGTCTGTGCCTTTTCGAATCATAGATCAATCATGAAAACTTCCAGATCTCAGATTTCAATCACTTGATCGCTTCACCCAACAACAATCCACAACATTTTGAAGAAGTATCATTCTTAGTGATCCATCCATCATCATTCTTTATTTATAGAGTCATCATAATAATAATATATATATATATAAACATGTCAATGTCCACTTCAATGACTTCAGCATCATCATCGTCTAGCTCAATGATGGGCGATTCGACTGGCATGCCAGCGACGATGAACAAGGCAAATCAGGTCATGTTGAGGATATACTTTGTAGATGATACTCACAAGACATTGATGATCGACCCAAAGATGATCACTGGCGAGCAGCTATGGGACATGGTATCCGATAAGATTGGCATCAAGAATCGCGACGCTGAATGCTTCTTTGTGTGGGCACAGTCGGATGAGATTGAGTGGCTGCTATACAGTCATCAGAAGATACAGGAGGTGATCACAGGTTGGGAGACGATCAAGAAGCGCTACGTCGACGACCAGACCTCGCCCACCATCCGATCAGTCGGCACCATTCGCAGCAAGATCGTGCCAACCCTCACTCGCAAGTTGTCCTCGCCCACACTATCAAGCTCCAATGGCAGCAGCAGCAGCAAACAGACTAGCCCATCAACGCTAAAGACAAAGAAGGGTGTTACACCATCAATGTCCACATCGATTGCCGCGGACCACGAGTCGAAGCTGTCGTCATCGTTCCCCACGCTAGGCGAGCAGGGCATGTTCCGACTGGTGTACAGAGCGACCAGCGTATTGCCACTGTCAATGGAGCGATCGATCGTGTCGCCCGAGGCCATACATCTGTTCTATATCCAAGCGATACATCATGTGATCAACAGCAACTATCCATGCGACGAGGACATTGCGCTGAAGCTGGCGTCCATCCAGCTGCAGGTGACCGTAGGCGATCAGAAGCCCGAGCATCAGACACATCTTCGCGAGTCACTACCAAACTACATTCCATATCATCTGGAGAACAAACATAAGCCCGAGGAGTGGGTGTCGTTGTTGATGCCACAACATACACTGCTGCGTGGCTCCAATGCCATTGCATTGAAGAAGGCGTACTTGGAGACATGTCAGCGATGGGTATACTATGGATCAACCTTCTTCAAGGCCAAGTACGTCCCAACTACCACCTCCTTCTTCCTTCAAGAGTTTGAAGGTAAAGTCCGTATAGGTATCAATGGATATGGTGTCCACATCATTGATCCAAAAGCAATGGTATGTATCCATCACTCAATCATTCAATCCAATCATTTACCTAACCTCCCTTACCTTACTTGCTACCTACCTTCCAGAAAATTGTATCACATCATTATAAGGAGATCATCTGTTGGGATTCAACAACAAGCTCATTCTCAATCCAGGTACAGTTGGCAAGTGGATCTGGGCGATCGACATCATCATCATCAGCTCAGAAGGGATACATATTCAAGACGTCCCAGGGAGAGTTGATCGATGACTTGCTCCATGATTGGATGGAGGAGTGGACAAAGGAGATGAAGAAGGATTCGTCAACCTCTTTGAGTCCAGCCAAGAAATAGTCGCTAGCTCAATCTGTCTGTATAGTAGTAGTTGTGTAAGGAAGGTAATCGAATAAAGTAATACTGAATGAATGAATGAATGTTATTATCATCATTATCATTATCAACTCTTGACATGATCGTCTTGGTCGTCATCGCTGTCATCGTCATCATTGAGTAGGAAGTCCTTGATCTCATTTCTTAGTCTGCTTTCAGTCATCATTGTCTTTGAGTAGTTGTTAACGTATGATGGTAACTCCAGTGTTTGTTTGTTCTTTGTGCTCCTAACTATCAGTCTACAACTATAGCACAAAGTATACATTGATGGTGTTGGTGTTGGAGCCAATGAACTTGAACAGCATGATGTCAATGAAGTTGAGCAACTTGATGTCGTCGTTGATGAGCAACATGTATCCTTTCCACATCCCTGTGATAATGTCGATGTAGTCGATGTAGTCGTTGTAGTGGTAGTAGTAGTCGATGTAGTCGATGTTGGAGAAATGACAGAGGACTCCAATTGCTTAATGTCATCATTTGTTAAACTACTTGAGCAGATTGAGCAATACATTGATTCTTGTGCCATTGGTGAATGTAGCTTGTCAACTGATCTGAGCAATGTATGAATGGTCTGACTTGAGATGTCCTGGAGTGTGTTGAGGAAGTCTAAATGAGTGTCTGGGATGTCAGTCGCAAGGTCTATCAGTGGTCAAGGATCAGCTGTCATACATACTTTCGCAAAGAGTATTGATTGAACACTTGTTGGCGTTAAGATTGATGTTGTGGAATGGATTGGAGGGGATGGTATAATCGATGAGCTTCATTCTTCGATGATATATTGTGACCTCCTTAAGCCAGAAGTCTCTCATTGGATGGCATATGCTGATACTTCTAAACTGATCAATCAAGTTGGTCTCGTTTGGAACACTGTGTCCACGTCCTTTGGATGTTGACGCCAATAGTCTGATGGCCAAACGATTGGAGCTGGATCCATTAAGTACGCGATTGTAACCAAGTCGTTGAGTGGTCTCAAAGACAAGTTGATTCCTAAAGTGATCGAGCAAGTCCTCCTTGGCAGTATTGTCATCCAGTCGATTGAATGTGTCCAACAATCGTTGTCTTCGCTGATCTGATGTGTTTGAGTCACTGCCATAGATGTTCTCGAGTGGTACAACAGTGAGAGGTAGTTTGTATCGATTGCATGCCTCTGTCAATTGTGTCCTCAATGTTGTTGATCGATGATGTGATGAGTTGTCGTCGCCAATGTTGTTGGTGGTGTTCCAAAGACATGATTGATCGATATGAACGACATGGACCTTGAAGAACATCCTCGCTCGCTTGACACTCTCGCCAATACATTGATCAACGAGGTCTAGCATAACCATTGATGAAGGTCCACCTGACAAACTAAGTACATAAGTCTCCAATTCTCTCTTATTCTCTCTTGCTCTTGTTATATTTGTCTTAAACTTCTTGATCATTACATCCTGGAAGCAAGTCCTTCATTATATGTTTGATGATTGATTGATAGATTGATCGTTTTGGTTAGTCCAAAGACACTCCAACATGTCGTTCGTTCCCTCTCTGCTTTGTGGACATACCAACATATTGCATCGGTTGTTCTAAAGAGAATGATTGCAGGGGCAGCCTTGCATCGAATACATTGTTTGTTGTTGTTGTTCTTTTGAGTAAGCTTCAAGCTTGCTGTTGGTTGGAGTATGGTATCACCGCCATCCTCTTCAGCAGCAGAAGTACATCCACCTACACTATCTGCCATCGTTAACTATTATATTATCTCTTTATCTCTTCAAGACATGGAGTAAGACGAAACAATGAATGAATTTGAAAGAAAAACTCAAGAAGCCCAAAGACGAGACTTTTGAAGGAAAATGAATGAATGATTGGTCCCTCGATTTACTGGATGTCCATGTTGATCCAGTCTTGTGGTCGTAGGAAGTAGTCAGTCAGCTTGTGCTCTGGGGTGTCGGGAGTTGGCGTGTAGTTGTACTTCCACTTGGCCACGGCTGGTAGTGACATGAAGATGGACTCGATGCGACCCTCGGACTGAATGCCAAACTTGGTGCCACGATCAAACAGGAGATTGAACTCGACGTATCGCGAGCGACGATACAGCTGGAACTCGCGCTGTGCCTTTGTATATGTGATGGCCTTGTTGCCCTGCAAGAATGGCGCGTATAAGTCGACGAATGCCAGACCGAGCGCCTCGATAAAGCGCCAAGCTGTGGCCTTGGCCTGTGCACTGCCGTCACCCTTAATGTGATCGTAGAACAGACCACCAACACCACGTGTCTCATTGCGGTGCTTGAGGAAGAAGTATGTGTCGCACTCGCTCTTGCCGAGGTCGTAGGTGGTGCCATTGGTTGCGCTGCCAAACTCGTCGCACACGGTCTTTAGACGCTGATGATAACGGATCACTTGTGGCAACTGTGGATAGACGGGTGTCACGTCGATGCCGCCACCGAACCACCATAGGTCGCCAGCCTGGAAGAAGCGCACGTTCATATGTATGGTTGGTACGTGAGGGTTGTAAGGGTGGATCACCAGACTGACGCCAGTGGCCACGAACGGTGTTGACAGTGGTATATTGAACTGAGTGGCTGCTGCCGATGGCAGATTGGCGCCTTCGATACATGAGAAGTTGACACCTCCCTTCTCAATCGTATCATAATGTGTGTTGCCTTGTTGTTGTTCGAGTTGTTGATAGAATGACTCATCATTGTCACCCTCCCATACACGAGTGATGCCACCTCCACTACCTTTGTGATAGTCCCAAATGTCCTCCAATGGTGTCTGAGCAGTATCATGTACTAAGAAGTCTGTTATCTTATTCTGTATATTCTTGAAGCCATTCTTTATGTCCTCAATTGATAATGATGATGATATATTACTATTATCTGTTGTAGTCATTGTGTGTAGATGTATGATGAGTATGATGAGTATGAGTGAATGAATACTATCTCCGACTTGTTAGATATTATTATAGTTGTTGTGTTCGAAGAATGCACTCGACAGTGATAACGCGGGACTCGACTCGACTAGACTTGGTTGTGGTGTCGTCAGAGTGATGTGCTTTTGGAAAGTTGAAGTTGAATGCATGAATCTTGAAGATTCCTTTGAATGTGGGTCACATGACCTATCTTACTCCATTGATCATTCACACTCATTCATCGTCTCAATCAATCATTCAATCAATCAAGTCTTTGGCATCTCGCTTAGTCTTCACAACTTCCAGACACACACACACAAACAAGCACAACATCATCATCAACAACAATGCTAAAGACATTCAATAATAAGAACAACTTAGTGCAGTTGATCACAAGATGTGTACAACCACAACTTGGTAGACATCATTATTCGACAAATACAGGAGATGAGAACAACAAACCAAAGACAAAGACTGCGATATTGATGCTTAATCTGGGTGGACCACAGACATTGAATGATGTTGAACCATTCTTGACAAGATTGTTCACTGATCGTGATATAATCAAACTACCATTCCAAGAGACTGTTGGTAGATTGATTGCAAAGAGACGATCACCTGCTGTACAGAAGCTTTATCAATCTATTGGCGGTGGTAGTCCGATTGGCAAGTGGACAGAGATACAGGGCAAGGCGTTGTCTCAACGTCTCGACCAGCTGTCGCCACAGTCTGCACCACACAAGTGTTACATTGGCTTCCGCTACGCATCGCCACTCGTCGACGATGCCATCCAGCAGATGACAAAGGATGGTGTGACCAGGGCCGTGGCCTTCTCTCAGTATCCTCAGTTCAGTTGCACCACCACTGGCTCCAGTTTGAACAACCTCTGGAAGTCACTCGAGACCAAAGGTCTAGAGTCCAAGTTTGATTGGTCCATCATTGATAGATGGCCATTGCACGAGGGCTTTGTCTCAACTGTTGCCTCAAAGATCCAACAGGCCTTGACACACTTTGCCAATGAAGCCAAGCGACTCAATCTAATTGGTGAGGCTGCCCAGCCAGTCCTCCTATTCAGCGCACACTCACTGCCAATGCGAACTGTTGAGCGAGGCGACCCATATCCAACAGAGGTGGCGGCGACTGTATCTGCCGTCGTCCAGACCCTAGGCGATCAGGTGCCACAACACATACTTTGCTGGCAGTCAAAGGTTGGTCCACTGCCTTGGCTCGTTCCCAAGACCTCAGACACGGTGGTGCGCCTGGCAAAGGCTGGTCGCAACGTCATCATCGTGCCCATCGCATTCACATCCGATCACATTGAAACACTGTCCGAGATTGACATTGAACTGAAACATCTGGCTCATGAGAATGGAATGAAAGTGTTCATGCGCAGCGAGTCCCTGAATGACGACCCCAAGATCATCGATGCCATGGCCGACATTGTCCACCGTCACATCAGCTCTGGCGAGCAAGTGGCCAACATCAAGCAGTACAGTCTCAAGTGTCCAGGTTGCATCGATGAGACTGGTACCTATTGTCGAACAATTCGCAACCCTGTCTCATGTCATGCAACCGCATGATATACATCATCATAATAATATTTAATGTCTATTCCTATATTTCAAGTAATAAATGATCAGTCCAATACCGGCGCAAAGGAATAAGCCTGGTACCAAGGTTGTTGTTACCAAATGCCCGCTGTCAATATTAGCGTTCAAATAACAATCTGATGTGCTGTCTGGATCAATATAACATGAAGTACTATTCATCAAAGGGAATGAATTCAAGTATTCCTCAGCCCATGACTTTGACTTTGTATAATGATCCAGTAATACTATGTTTGATTGATTGATTGATTGGTATTAGTAGTATTCCAGAACTAATTATTGATTGAAAGATGGATCTAAGTAACATACTATTATCATTACATATTGCATTATTGGATATGGATATATTATTTTTCGTATGATTGTATGTCACTTCTAAACATGGAAGATATTTCCATGTATATCCATCTTTCATTCTTAATATTATTGTTCTTGTTATTGTACAATTGGTATGTATATAATTTGATCTAACTCCTAAAGTTGGTGTACTATTTTGGAAATAATTAGTAATTTTTGTTTGATCTAACTTTAACATTAATTAATACATACATGTACAGAGTAAGGAATACAATAAATAATATTGCTGATATGGTTAAGAGTATAAATCCAACGAATAAGAATGATTGTTTATGTTTCATTGTTTGATATATGTATATTATTATTACAATTGTATTTATATTTGGATCATTGATCTAATGATATCCACTTATACGTGTCCGATGTAATAACTCTGATGATGATGATGTATCCGACTGATTGGCTGACGTTCCTGCTTGGAAGACTGGTCCACCACCACATCATCCCAAATTAATGAATGTCATGTGATGGTCCTTCAAAGCATGGTTTTTCAAAGACAGGTCTTCAAAAAGGGGTGCCATTTCAGTCTTCAGACTGATGGCAATCATCAAGAAAGGAACATTACCTTACAATCTTGTAGAGTACGGTTGTGTTTGGCATTGATAGCACGCAACTCCTTACCATCTTGTGACTCTACTGTCATTGTAAGTCCAGTGGGCCATGTCTTTGGATTGGACATTGGCACTCGCATCCATTGCTCTGCATTTGTATCTGAGAATGCACCTGTAGCGTCCACAGGCACCCAACCATGCTTAGCCTCATAGAACTCTGCTATACAATGTGAATCAAACCTCTCGAATCTCTCGCCTCGATGGCTAACAATCCAAGGATGAAACAGTCTTCTTGCCTACATGCGAGTCGATGTCGATTGAGTCAGTCAGTCAGGTGAGCTCGGTCGTGCGACATGATACATACAGGGATACCAGCAGCTCTAGATAACATTACAAAGAATAGTGCATGTCCTCCACATTCACAGTATCTAAAGTTACTTTGAAGATATTGCTCGAGTGTTGGCCATGGCATGCCTGGCTTGGGTATCTCGTAGGGTATCTGACCGACCCATGTTGCAATGGCCTTGGCCTTGCCAATGACATCGAGATGTTGCTTGCCTTCCAATATACTTCGTACAATCTGTTGGATTCTTGGATGATGTGGATCTATCCTTGCCGAGGTGTGATCAGTCACACCGAGGTATTGGCGTGGGTCATCATTGGGGTACCATTCCGCCAGTTGATCACCATAGCCACTGGTCTGTAAACGATTTGGATTGAACTCAATGTCCAATGTGTACTCGACGTGTGATGTGCTCAGCGAGCCGAAAAGACCGCCCAGGAATGAAGATGTGGAGTTAGACTTTGGTCGAAGAACCAGGTATGTGTTTCCATTGATGTGATAGGCACGCTCCAATGTGATGTTGGGAGTGATCACGTTGAACTTGATATGTCTTTGGAATGGTCTGTTTGGTGGCATTAACAACTCGAATGTTCCATTAGAGTTGAGGTCTCTGGATGACAGTGGTGTAGTCCAATGGAATCTGATCACTCTGTTCTTGGGTGCGGCAGCCTGTGGGGAAGATGCCAGCCTCATCATCGAAGCAGTCGGCTGCTTCACTTCAGTGTTATGAAGCACCTCTTGAACCTGCTGACCATTCTCATTTGGTTGTCTATATGAACCATTCATACGTTGATCCCATCCACGTATAGTCTTATCCACATAGAATATCCATTGATACTCATCACTCTCATGTTGAGCAATAACATAAACATGTCCATTACCACGCAAGGCAGTAGCACTCTTAATATATTTGAATGATCCAACTCTATAGCAACTGTTGAATATCTGTTCCACCTGTTTAGGGTCTATGTTTGATTGATCGATCTGATGAGTGAGTGATCGATGCAATATCATCGCGTCCATGGTCAAGTACATACCATTCATCATTGATATATACTTTAGTGAATTGGCAAAGTCTCCATTGTAACAATGATGTAAGAATCCAATGGCAACATCAACTTGACTATACTTATTCTTCTTTCCAAATGGTTGTAAACTCATTCTATTTATCTCTTTTATATCGTTTATACCAAATATCTCTTTAATATCATTTATCTCTATTATATCAATGTTTATAACAATGAATGATAATACTATAATAAGTAAATAAGTATCTAAACCCATGTTTTATTATTGTTGTTCACATAATCCAGAGATCCAATCTTCTCTTCTGACACATGTTAACGAATCGTCATTAGTGTTTGGAGACGACGTCGTCAGGGTGTGTGGGGTTGGCAGGGAAGGGAAGAGGGGGTCACAGCTGTGACCAGTCACAGAACATCACTACACCTCCAAAGTGAGGAATCGGATGGATGTTGGTGTCCAAGTGAGTATCGAGGTGATTGCTGATACAATCTAATCCATTGATCGGTCGATCAACTCTGAGTCTTTTTGTCTCGTCTCTCTGAAGACGACATTGCTTTCCAAATCATAGTGCCAGTGGATTGGCATGTATAGTAACATTCTTCAATATTATATCATTGAGTGGCTTGTCCTTGTTGTCCACTGGTACCTTCTCCATCTGATCCAAAATATCAAGTCCATCAATTACTCTAAATGTGTACATAATGTTATGTTAGGATGATACTCTGCAATGCTGGACAGTACTACTACTACCCAAGGTAAGGTACTTACTTGGCAAACACAGTATATTGTTTGTTCAAATGTCTTTGCTTGCCATAGGTGATGAAGAATTGTGAACCATTGGTATCGGCGCCACTGTTGGCCATCGATAGGATACCCTTGGTGTTGTGTTTGAGATGAGATACAAACTCATCCTTGAATGGTCTCTTCCAAATGCTCTGTCCTCCACGTCCAGTATTTGTTGGATCTCCACCCTGTATCATAAATCCCTTTATATTACGATGAAACAATGTACCATCATAATAGTTTGATGCACATAGAGCTAAGAAGTTCTATTTAATGTACAACGTATAAGTATGTGACATTGTCATTCATTCATTCATTCAATCATTCACTGTACGTACCTCTGCAGCAAGTGGAACTGAATCACAAAAGACTTCAATCTTGATATCACCTAGATTAGTATGAAGAGTAACAGACTATGTATAATGCTATTAATATAAGTATGTGATGTGTATGACTATGTGTATATGTATACATACCATGATGCACTATCTCTCTGTCTCTCATTCACTTTGATTGGGAATGAATGATGAAGTGGTGTCAAACTTGAAGACACCTGCACCCTTCAACTTTTTTTCGAACCTTCTCCTGTTGTCGACCACATTGATCAACTTTCATTCATTATTTGATCAATAGTTAGTTATAACAACACCCTTTTTATATATACATAAACTTATAGTCCTGAAATGACCTGGGTAGAAGTCCTTCCAGTCGGCGTCGTCATGTCAGTCGGAGTACTGATCATGGCATACGGCCTTGACAAGTCACACAGATTGTTCCATCACGGAAAGGTAGGAGATCGATCACATCAACACGACATCAACAACGACAGAAAACAATGATATCAACACATGGCCGACGGTGCAACAACAGAAGAGTGGAGTCAAGTGAACATAGTATACTTACTATATACCTCATCATGCGATCAAACAATCAATCAATCAATACAGCCACACAGACACTCAAAAGATAGAGTCGATTATCATATGGACGCTCGTGATGACAATATATTGAATTATAGATCTGTCAAGAATGACCCAAGGAAGCTACAGAACTTTAACAATCAGGCAAAGATCTAAATGATCACATTACATCGATTGATCGAACTCCTCTCTCAAATGATACATTAGCCTACCAATACATATTGCGAACCCTGTTACTATCAAGCGACCAACTCAGTTAGCGACAGCAGTACTTCCAACTATACATAAACATATAATATTGAACAACAATCTAGCAGGTCGCGACGATAGATAGATAGATACCTTTATTATTACATCAGTTAGTTCATCACTGTATTTGCCAGCCATTCAAGACCCTCGTAGAGTCCATCACCTGTTAATGAGCAACAGTCTTGGATGTGCCACCGACGATTGAATGCGCCGAGTATGGCTTGGTCCAGACACTCTGTGATCTCTCCAATAAGCATTGCATTTGGTAGGTTTTGTTTGTTACACCAGATCAGTATAGGTGAATCACGTAGCTCATCCTCTTTGGCCAGCTTGTGCAGCTCTAGACAAGCCTCTGGCATGCGAACTCTATCATTAGAGTCAATCACAAATATGATACCTTGTACATTCTCATAGTATTGTCTCCACAATGGTCTTATCCTATCTCCACATATATCCCAACAGATGAACCTAATGTTATTGTATTGAACTGATTGATTGCATTGAGACGAGTGAGTGAGTGATACCTTGTCCAGTCCAACCACCACTATAAGATGATGATGATTATCATACCTTGTTCCACTCTGAATCCTTCGATTGGATTACTGGTTATCACTTCGCCAAGCCTCAGTCTGCTGATGATCGATGTCTTTCCAGCGCCATCAAGGCCGATGATTAGAACCTTCAGGTCACGACTGTGGGTGATCCGTGTGAATAGACGTGCGAATGCTTGTCCCATCGATCTCTAAATGACGATTAGTAGTGTAGGATGTCAATCACAATCCCGTCTCACTCTTATTTGTTGGGATGGGTGGATGTTTGATTGAATGAATGGGGGTATGGTCAATCAATCAGTCTGATTACCATGATTAGAGGAATGACATTGCAATTGTCATATTAATAGTTACATCAACAACAACTATTATCGATCATGTTACAACGAATACTCGACACACACAACACTCTCATCATTCCATTCCACAACCAAAGGCAGGTGATTGATTGATCAGTAAGTGTGTTTGGTGAGTGTGTCTGTCTGTCTAACCCCATAACTTATATCTCATTCCATGTCCGATTACATCAATCATATGATCGATTTATTGATTGACAATCCCCTTTGGATTGATTGAATGAGTGAATGATTAAATTTATTCTATATCCTAATATTACTTGTACCATATACTATACTGTATAATTACTACTTCAACTCCTACTATTACTACGACACAATGTTTAAGTTTAATAAACAAATATTTATAGTATTATTGTTGGTTATAACATTATTAGTTCTACATACTAATGGTAAGTGAATTTGATATCATATTCGTGGTCTATGTTCAATGATTAACATAATGTCCATGTTGTAGGATTCAAATGTAATCCGAAATGTAAGAGAGATCAGATATGCAAGGAAGATGGATGCTGGACTGATTGTCATCAGATCAATACAGTATGCAAACCAAAGTATTTCTGTGAGAGGGATACTGTTGGTATGAAGTTCTGTCTACCAGATTCACAAAGGAGTCGTTAAATTAATTTAAATTAAATCCATGTATTATTAAGAAATAAAGGTGGTGTTGAACTCAACAACTTTCGATATCAGTCAATCGGGAGTTTGATATTCGCTTCTCTTCAATAGTCAGTATAATTTCTTGGAATTAAACAATGTTGTTGACAGAATCAACAAAATGTTACAGAACTATAAGTTATATTACTTCATTATAATCAGATAATAATAACTATATTAATAGTAATAATAATAATAATAATAATAATATTAAATTATAATGAAGAGGACAATTGAGGATAAAGAATCAATCATTGAACCATCAATAACAACCACAGATATCAATAACAATAAAGAATTGGATAAGAAGAAGAAGGCTAGGACATCTTCTAGCAGTAGATCAATATCAAGCTACAAGGTTGAGGATGCGCCTAAATCCTTTACATCTCCTCTACTACTACTAAAGACTACCGTGGTTCAACTTAAACGAAAGGGTGGTGTAGTTGTCCAAGACTGTGACGTGTACATCGGTAGGAAGTGGACTATGGGAGGATGGGATCTTCCCCAGTCCAAGTGGCATAATCCCTACCGGAGGACTAATGTATGTTGTCGTCTTTGTGATTAATATGAACTATTTATTGATCGATTGACTGATCAATCAATTAATTAATAATTCATAGGATGCCGAAGACATTGTTGGCAAGTATGAGAAGTATATAATGTCCAATCAATCTTTGTTGAAGGACTTGCCAGAGTTGTTTGGAAAGAGATTGGGATGTTGGTGCAAGGACAAAAGCAAGAATAGTACATGTCATGGTGATATTCTAGCAAAGCTTGCTAATGAGTTATGGTCAAAGACCAACTCATTGACTGTCGCCACTTCTAATGATGAAGATGATGGTGAAGAATAAGGTATGATATGGATGAATAAAGACATTGGAGTTGTTCATCAAGTATTGGTCTCAGTACCAATAACATTGATTTATTAATTAGGTTATTATACAATAAAGGAGTTATTATTATCTGTTTCCAATTTCCAATTGTTCATCCTGCAATCTAATCCAATCACAAAGAGTGATTGATTGATTGATGGATGATTAATGGATGTATGGATGATGTTTAGATCTCAACGTTAAATAGACTGGTGATATCATATGGATTCTGGCTGTTATGTTGTTGGTTGCTGTTGTTGCTGTTGTTATTATTGTTTGGATCAGTGATGTTAATGTTATTGTTGTTGTTGTTGTTGTTATGCTTCTGTGATGTATCTGTGTGTTGGTCAAAGAATATGTAATCGTCTGTGTGATCAAAGTTGAAGTCGGACATGAATGGATTCTGAGGGAAGGAGGCAAGCAGGTGGTCTCCAGTCTCAATGTGTCCATTCAATTGTTGTTGTTGTATATGTGGATGTTGTTGCTGTTGTTGTTGATGCGCTAGTTGTTGATGAGGATGTTGTTGTTGTTGTTGTTGTTGTTGGCCCCAGTAGTAGTTGAAATATGGCACCTCATGAGATGGTGGCGCTTGGTAAATATACTGTTGACCTTGTTGATTAACATGCTGTTGATGTTGTTGTTGTTGTTGTTGCTGCTGTTGTTGTTGATGCTGTTGTTGTTGCTGTAGATGTTGTTGATGTATGTGTTGATGCTCTTGATGTTGTTGCTGTTGCTGTTGAAGATTGTATGCGTGAACTTGTTGTTGTTGGTTGACCTGCTCTGAGGCCACCTTGTGAATTGGTTGCTGAATAATGGGAGAGCCGATATTGTCTGGCTTCTTGCCCTGAGACGACAGATTTGGTGATGAGGTCGGCGTGCTTTGTTGGATTCTTATGATCTGAGGTGCCACCACAGTGCCCTGGCGGTAGAGATCATTGGTATTGATCATATGCGCAGTGTTATTGTCCAACTGATGTGATAGAACGAATGGTGGGATATTGTATTGATCCAATCCGCCAGAGTGTTGGAGAGGTGTGCCGATTAGAGTTGATGTGGTAGTCGTTGTAGATGTACCTAATGATTGGTCCGATGGATAGAGTGAGATGGGCGACAGTGAGGGCGAGTTTGTGTCCTCGTCATCGTCATCTTCATCGTCATCCCTGCTGTTTGATGCTGGTGATGCTTGAGGTCCGGRGACCAATCCTTTTGACCAACGTTGAGTTCCAATGGGTTCTTTATGGCGTTGGCCGGCCTGCCATCCAGAAGTTTGGATATAGCCGTCCACTTGTTACCCAGTGCCAAGTGAGACTCGATGATGATCCTGTCCTCCTCGGGCGTCCAATTGGTCTTTCGCACCTCTGGGCTCAGATGATTGAACCACCTCTCACGACATTGCTTTCCAATCCTTCCCGGTATCTTGGCAGCGATGCTCGACCACTCCTTTGGACCATTCTTATTGACCAACTCTACCAACTTGGCATCCTCCTCTTCCTTCCAAGGTCCTTTAACAATACCAGGATTCTTTGTCTTTTGCCATTTGTTTATCTTTATGATAGTATTAGTATTTGTAGATATATTGAATGAGTGAATGAATGAATGATCACATACTTCATCAGCATCTTGTGTCCATTTGGATTTGCTAACCCTTGAATTCTTGCTCTTCTTTGAAGGGGACATTGGTGCCGTGAGAGGAGAGAGTGATGGGGACATTGAGAGGGGCGTGGGCGGATTGGAGAGTGATGCATTTTGGAAAGCGATTTGGACTGACGTCAGCCCAGGTGATTGAGCCACTGGAGTGAGCAGTGGCGATGAGACCAACATTGGTTGGCTCTTGCTGTGAAGTGAGAAGTCGTCCTCCTCCAACTTCCTCTTGCTGACCAATATCGGCGTGCTGGATTGATGTGGTGGCTGGGAATTCATTGTTGGTGTCAGACAGGAGGTGATTGACGGGGGGATGTTTGACGTGGCGGTCATGCTCTCGCCATATTCTCTATTGATGTTTCCGCCGCTGTTATTGATGCCGCTACTCGACGTCGACACCTGTATTCCTGTAACATTCAAATGAGGTTGGTACTGTTGATTCATGTCAAAATGCATAATACAACCTAGAATCAATCAATCAATCAATCAATTCCTCCTGTTTATGTTGTTATTGCTGTTGTTGTAGTTGTTGTTGTAATTTCTGTATCCTTCTTACTAATATTCTTTCTCACTAATATTATTGTATGTTTAGGTTCCTATATCCTATATGATGATTGATATGCCTGCAACATTGATCAGTATGGTGTTGTTGTTGAGCATATTATGTTGCTGTTGTTGTTGTTGTTGTTGTTGGTCATGATGAATGATACAACAATAGAGAGTGAGAAGAATGGATAGGTGGATGTGAGTGAACGAGTGTGTGATTGTGAATACCAGAGAGAGAGAGTGTACTCTACACCCTCTCATCATTAACAAACACACACTAACACTAACACGCCATTCTCATCTCTCACTTCCTTCCCTTCCCTCCCTTCACCACCACGTGGTATTCACTCTCCAAAGAATAGTAATGGTTCTTCATTCTATTATGTGTGTGTGTGAATGATTGTGTTTGCACAATGTTTGATTGATTGATGGAGTGTGTAAGAAATGATTGAGGGTGGTCTTCAAATATGACATTAAAATGATGGCAGGAAGGATGATGAATGAATGATTGATTGATTGATTGATGATGGAATGGAGGGGTGCAATAGATGTTGTTGACTAAATTGAGTGGGAAACAGATTGATGATGGATGGATGTTTATGTATTGTCACTCTGTTTGTATCTGTGATTCCAAGTGTAATAGAATGTCAATGTTGACTTTGTTTGGGTGCCTGTCTATCTGTCTGTCCCTTTACCAAAGTGACATATTTAACTGTAGAACTGGAGGTGGAGCGAGATTTAAAGTAGAAAATGATTGGCAAACTTACAGAATTGGTTAATTGGTATCTTTAAATTAGATATCTTTTGGAATTTATTATTCTTATTATTATTATTATTTATTAGATATTATTTAATGACTCAATCATGTATCTGTCTGTAAATTTTAATTTATATTTAATTGATAGAGATAGAAATGATAGATAGGGCCTAGGGTAGAGAGAGAGCTTCTAGACCTTGACTGCTGGGTCTTCATTGTAATCGAATAGCATTGCTGGGTTGTCCTTCTGAACACACACTCACTATGTCTAACAAACAACAATTGGAGTTCATTCAATCCCCCAATCTCCACAATTATATTTAATTAAATTAATTATTCCTTTTATGGACATGAGGAGATTGTTCTTGTGGTTTTGTGAATGAAACTATCCCCTCCATTGTTGTTGGTGTTGACATCCAAGTACTTCATGTAGGTGACTTGGGGACCAGGGGGGTAGTATTATTGGCATCCACCTATATGTCTTTCGTTTTTGAGTAATGGAGTGGGCAGGAGTCTTGTAAATTTGGAAGTACGAATGATTGGATGAGATACCAGGACCTGTTTAGATGACCCTACCACACACGTATGATGTACACTACAATAACTTCGATCAGAACATACTTACTTTGACACACAGATAGATAGATAGATAGATAGAATAAGATGAAGAAGTGGGGAGGATTGGAATACTTTAAGTTTGCTGTATATATATTGATGCCTATAAGTTGTTCATTGTATATATTAGATAATGATCGACTAAATAACTTAATTAGAAAGGTATGTTATTAATGTAATGTGATGTCAGATGAATGAATGAGGTCAATGGTCTTACATAAATACAAACAAGTATCACTTTGTTGTATACCCACCCGAGCAATACCCTCAGGAGGAGGTACAGAGGATGATTAGAGAGGCAGCACAGAAGAGAGCCGATCGTCTGAATGCCTCTGATGAACAAATGTTGGCACAGAAGCGTGAGGAGAGACATCAAGATTACATAAACAAGCATCAGTATCACAAGGAGAAACAACTACAACATCAACAACAGCAGCAGGCCCAACAACAGGAATCACAGAAGTAATACATGATATATACATTAACGAACGAACGATTGAATGATTGAATGGATGGTTTATTGCTGCAACTCAGTCTTGATTGTTTCGAGGAATGTTTGGATGTTGGACTGTGGCACTACCATGATTAGACCCTTGCGATGCATGTGACCCTCCAATGTCCATCTGGCACCGGGACCATAGTCATAGGGAATGTTGAATGTGCACCATGCAGATGCCAACTCCCTCAAATACTTGTCCTCAATCTTGAAGTAGTACTCCTCGCCCTCTGCCAATTGTGCTGCGGCAGCAGCATCCTCACTCTCCTTCTTGGACTTACTGGATCCAGCATTATCATGCTTTTGCTTCTTTGTAATCTCCTTGGCATCTTCTTCATCCCCCTTCACTTGGTCATCGGCTGCGCCTCCAACTCCATATGACGTCAGGAACAGATAGTTCTTGAACTTATACTCGTCCTTGGTCTCCTACATTGATTGATCCATCATGTTAGAATGACCGTATCCCATGCTCCATCCATGTTACTCGTCTCATACTTACACATAGAAGTTCAATGTCCCATTGGACGTATTGATGTAGTGGATGCACAAGTTGATAGGGTATGTTGAGGAATCGCTCATTGAAGAATAGTCCAAGTTTGCCCATCTTGCCGGCGAGGAGGTCGGCCACCACGGCAGACATTTGCTTGTGCTTTGGCAACAGTTTGGCATCGATGTGTTGTGTCTCTGGTTGCTTGGTCTTGGCCGCAATGTAGTCGGCATAGCCCTGAACAGCATCGTGTTGCTTGTTCGTGGCATAGTTGAGTACGGACACGAATCCATATGGATCGTCATTGTTCTCCACTCTGATGGCGCGACCAAAATCCACACGTTTACATTGATCCAGTATAAGATCAGTGATTGCTCCAGCATTAAACTTTGTTTCCACAGTCCATGGTACCAACTTGATCATCATATTCTTTATCGAGTGATAATCATTGCTTTCAACCTTTGTAATATCGAATTGGACACTTATCTATAATGTATGTTTGATTGATTGAATTAGTGATTGAGTGAGTGATTGATTGATCGGTGGACATGACATGACATACCTCATCAAAGTCACTCTCATCATCACTGTCACTGCTGCTACTTGAGTCTTGATCTTGGTCGCTGTCATCATTCTCATCACTGCTATATTGTACGTTATAAATGTTCTCATCTTCACTGCTCTCCTCAGCTACCTCCTCTTCCTCATTCTTTCTCTTTCTCTTTGTTTGTTGTTGTTGTTGTTGTCCTTTATTATTATTATTGTTAACCTGTTTGTTTGTAGTTTGTTTTGATGATGTAGTTGTTGTTTTGGAGGCTACTTTGGCAGCAGCTGGCTTCTTGGTTATCGCGACTTTAGTGGCAGCTGTGGTGGCGGTGGTGGTAGTTGTGGTTGTTGATGTGGTATCTGACTTCTTCTTCTTTTCCGTTGCTGGTGCAGGAGTAATAGTAGTAGCACTACTATTCTTCTTTGTCTTTATCATTGTTAAACGTTGATGGGTAATAAATGAAATGAAAGCAAAGTGTCGTCTTTCGTTTTTTCATTAATCACCACACTTGATCAAACTTCCAAAGATCATTTAAAGTGTCAGCTTGAGAACTAAGTATATTTATATGATTTAAAGTAATAGTAATAGTAAGGCAATGACGACACCACCACTGGACATCATCAATCTTGAAGAGGAGTTCTTGTTCTTGCGACTTGGGTTCTGTCCCTCGAGCAGCTTGTCTAGACGATCACATGATCCATCATAGATACTGTTGGTACATGTTGTGTTGGCGATAGTTGGCATGCACTTCTCAATGTAGCACGACTTGTATAGACCACATTGCATGTTGATACAGGCCTTGTATCTAGTGTTGCTCACTCTTGGACATTTGGAACTCCATGCACACTGACTCATCTGATCCGAGAGTATCTTGCATTCTCGATTGAATGCCACCTTAGTATAACATGCTCCACTATCACATGAACATTGTTCCACCAAGTCATCACATCCATCCACAGTGCAGTTGGTTGTTTTGCTCGGCTCGGCATAAGTGCAATACTGTGACAAACACTGGATATCATTGAATGATTGATTGATCGAGTTAGTGAGTGTATGTGATGGCGATCAATCAATCAAACATACGTAAAGACGATCTTCGATGTCACACTCGGAATCAGTGTAACATGGTGATCCTTGTGACTTGGAATGTGCCTCAATGCACTCGCCATAGTGCATGGACATGCCTTTCTTGCCACATGTTAATCCATTGCCACAACCGACATCGATGGTACAGTTCTCATTGGCTTTTGGCAAGTCTGTGCAGGCACCCTCCACTGTACAATACTGATTATATGGACACTCATAGTTGTTTACACATCTGTCCTTATCTCTAAGTGAACATACATGTCCCTTACACATCAATGGTGTAGTACATTGTATAGTGCTATTACATGGTTCATTCAATCTTTGTGGTCACGTTATGATTGATTAGTTCAATGATTGATTAATCGAAATGGAAGAAGTAGACATACCCTACATAGTTGATTGGAGTGCATCTGGTCTCACCAGAGTCGTCTTCAAGACATGTACAGTATGAATTCAAACATGATGCAGAAGTGACACATTTATCGCCATCTTGGATTGCATCTTCACATGTATTTGACTCTGGATTACAATAGTATCCATAATTACATGTCACTATTGTTCCATTACTATAGTTTGATTGATTGATTGATAGATGGAATATTAGTAAGTGTGAGGTTCTGGACAATGTTCCAAATGATATCACATACTTTGATCCACATTGTTCATCCTTGTTTGCACAAACTGCATTAGCGATACATGATGCTGATGTATTATAGTTGGAAATTACCAACAATAATAAGGATAAATAAAACACTCTACTCATTATCAGAGAGCTCTCCAAAGAAGAAGTAGTATTTTGAATGATTAATATCGATTGATTGATTGATAGTATGAATGATCAATGGATATCAATACAAGGATGACCATACCTATCCCCAGTCCTCTACTAATCAATACTGACACATGATTCATTCATTCATTCCAAAGTTACAAAACACATCACCACACATCAATTATCCAAAGATTGATTGATTGATCAATCCAACCAAACACACTCACAAACTCACAATACCACGACTTTCTACATCACTGTGATACCACTCCAACAACAACAACTACAATTCAATTATCTTTCCTTTGACTCGTACAACTACAATATATTAATATATTTAATTAAATCAAATCCCAGACTTGAACTTCAACAATTCTCTCCCCTTACGTCATTCCAAATGCTAACCACTCAAAGTCATGTGAACACACAAATAGACGTCACACTTGGAGTGATAGTCAACAGTTATACATACATACATACACATACACATATAAATACAATGACGAATCAACTCGGGATATATATCATTCACACATAATGGTTTACTTTTAAGGTAGTCATAGCATCACATTGACAGCTAGGGGTGTGCGATTGTCAATGCAGTGTGAACCACATGTGGACAAATCGAACTTATAACTATGACACAATGGCCTTGTTTAAGGTGTCGTCTTCATGTTAAGACATAGAACTATAATATTACTCGCCACTCACACACTTGATAGTATACTCATCCACTCATTCATTCATTCATTCAATGTAGTAGTAGTATATCTCTTATCCATTCATTCAAAACTTTAATTAACTTATTTATTTATTTATTAATACATAGTATAACTATAATAATATACACCTTATAACATTAGTATCAATAATAACAAACAACAACAATGACACAGAATATTAAATTCTTCCACAATGAATGGATTGACAGGACATCCATTCCAGTGGCCAGACGTATTGTACCTGGACATCACACGACAGAGTGTTCCAGAAACGACTGTCAATACGGTGGAGAATGGAATGGTAAGTTAGTAATTAATATTGAATCAATATCCAAGTTATACTAATATTCAATCATTATTTGAATGAATAGGTATTAAGAAGTCATTCTTCAATGGATCAAGAAATGAGAGAAAGATCCACACATGGAATGGAAATCGCCATGGACCAAGGTCATACAACAATGACATGTACGACCAACCATATATTATGGAGCATGGATACCATTGCAGGAAGTACTTGCTCAAGACACCACAGTTGGTAGAGTACCATGAGCCAATCATGTACACCAGACCATACTACCTGGAGAGAATCAATCACTCTGGTCTGGTGCATCCATCCTACCTGTCAGACGGCAGCAAGGTCATGGGTATGGAGATGGCCAACAGATTCGTCAAGGCCGACCAGCTCTACACCTACGCCGACGATCTCCAGTTCAAGGAGCGCCAGAGACAGGACAATGAGTCCGTCCTCAAGCACCAGGAGATCGCCAGACTCAACGCCAACCAGAAGGCTCACGAGAAGGCCGTTCTCAGGAGCAAGATCAAGAGAGACCAGTTCCTTACTGAGGAGAAGGTCGTTGCTGAGGCTGAGCCATTGTTCATGCCAGTCGGTGCTCCAATCGCCAGAACTGAGATTATTGAGCAGGTCCCAATTGCCACTGCCGCACCAATCATTGAGAGGACCACCATTGTCCAGAGACCAGTCGTCAGACAATCAACTGTCGACCCAGTGATGTACCACGACAGACTCTACGTTCAGGAGCCAGTGGAGATCGTCCAACACAGAGAGTACCCCCAAAACACTTCATCGGGACATGAGCGCGTGTACATGGAGCGCGAGCCAGTCAGAGAGGAGGCCTACTTTGACCCAAGCAACCTTGTCGAGCAGCAACCACAGAGTGTAATGATGGACAATGGACAGACATCACAATGGGTATCAGACTCTGGCGAAACCTACCGCAACACCTATGACGGACGTATCATTGAGCACGGCACAATCTCACCAGTCATCATCCGTGATCGTGTTGCCTACCGTCAGGGACCAACAATGAAGCAATACCAGTAGACCTACACCTCTTCTGCTGCTCCTCCCCCGTCATCATACTTACTTGCCTATGTCAAGACATCAAGCAGCCGCAGCTGCAAACAATATTTAAATAAATGGATACACTAACTATCTAATATAATACACAATGTTAGGGTTGGAAATATAACTGATTGGGTGCGCGCTCGAAGGGTTTATTGCTGTTGGCAGGCGACTCCTTGTGGGTGACCACCGTGCTCATCCTCATCCTCCTCCTCGTAGGCCTCGGCTCTGTGTGCGGCGCCAGCGGCGCTACGCTTGGGTTGGTCGTAGTCGGACAGGACGACCTCCTCGTCGATGCCGTCGTGGCTGGTGGGCTTGGGGGCTGGCTTGGGCTTGGGCAACACCTTCTCCAAGAGCTTGGCACTCTCTGGGGCGATCTGGCCGTCGGTTGGGAAGTTAACGACGAACTTTACAATCAGCTTGCCCTTCTCCATTGGGTTTCTGTACTTGGGCATACCCTCGTTATGTATGCACTTGATGGCGTTGGGTGTGATGATCTTGGCGGGTGGGTTGGTAACGGTGAGGACACGGTCGTCGAGGTGCTTGATGTAGAAGGTGAAGCCTGTCAGAGCCTCGAGCAGGGTGATCTTCTGCTCCATGATGAGGTCGTCGCCGTCGCGCATAAAGGAGGTGTGCTCCTTCTGTTGTAAAATGACAATGACATCACCTGGAGTGATGTCGGGCGACTCGTAGTCACCCTCCTCGGAGAAGACGATCTTTTGCTGGTTCTTCATACCTCTGTCAATGTTGACCTTGAGTGTCTTTTCCTCCTGAATGGTCTTGTTACCCTTGCACTTCTGGCAACGGTCCTTCTCTCTGATCACTTGGCCCTCGCCTCTGCAAGTGTTACACTGCTGCTTGATCTGCTGCACCATGCCTGGTCCAATCTGTCTGAGCTGGACCTTGACACCGTTGCCGTGACAGTCGTCACACTTCTTGACGGCGTCGGCGGTTTTGGCACCCTTTCCATCACAGTCTGGGCACTTTGAGTTCTTTTGCAGTGCCAACTTGGACACCTTGCCTCTGTACAGATCCTCAAGGCTGACCTTGAGAACGTGCTGGAGTGACTCTCCCTTTCTTGGGCCACGACGACGCTGACCGCCACCGCCAAAGAAGTTACCGCCACCTCCAAAGAAGTGTGAGAATATGTCCTCGCCGAATCCGCCGGCGCCCTCCTTCAATCCCTCCTCTCCGTATTTGTCATAAAGCTCTCTCTTCTCCTTGTCACACAACACCTCATAGGCTACAGTGATCTCCTTGAACTTCTCCACAGCACTTGGGTCCTGGTTCTTGTCTGGATGATACTTAATGGCCAACTATAAATATTATAATTCCAAATGAGAGTTAGTAAAAATTGATTGATTGATTTGATTTGATTGAATGGGAGATGATTATAAACTAACCTTTCTGTAAGCCTTCTTGATCTCAGTCTCATTGGAGTCACGTGATACACCAAGAATATCGTAATATTTGTTGTCAAGTCCCATAATTAATGTTATTTACTCTGTATTTGTTTGTAATGTACCAATCAATGAATGAATGAGTTAAGTTGTTTGATTGATGAAGTTTGAGGATAAAGATGAACTCTTACGTTTTGGAGAGTAATAAATAGTACAATCTCTTTATGTAATGTTATATAAAATGTCAATCTAATATAGATAGATAAGAGAAAGAGATACAACAAGAGTGAATAATTGAGTTTGAGTGTCAGTGCGTGAGTGAAACAAGCAAGTAAACAACTAGCCAAGGTTAGGGGAAGAGAGAGTGAGTGCGTTAGAGAGTCAGCAGCACTCAAAGACGAACGTCTGACCCCAGATGTAGGGGTTGGTGAATGGAAGCCTCAACTGACCACCATTTTAATTAAAAAAAAAATCGAATAAATTACACTGTGAACAGTTGGCTGTGGAACTGAATGAAATCTCCACGACCTTCCTACTTTGGACACATACACCAACACGATTTTGTCGTTCGGTTTACAGTCATCATTGACTGAGTTGTGTTTGTGTGTATGTATGAGTTTGATCAAGAAAATGGATGTTAACAATGAATGAAAGGAAGGAATGGAATGGATGGATGTATGTATAAATGCGAGTTTAACTCGCATGTTGATGTCTGGAAGAACAAAAGACACTGTAACTTTATTGGCAAGGAGGGTCCATTGATTAATTAGATGTTTGTGGCTACCATCGAGAGTGCACTCAGTCCAGAGATCGATGGAACACAGTTGGCATCATCCTCAAACTGTTCCAAGGTGTTGCAGGGCTTTGTTGGACTGCTGTTGCTTGTACATGTCGATGTTGTGGATGATGATGTTGAAGTTGATGATGAAGATGATGGTGTGGATGTAGAATTGATTGTTGAGGATGATGATGAAGTATCTTGTTTGTCGTTGGGTTCATCATCAATCATCAGATCGTTGGTCGATGTGTTAATTGTGTTGGGCTCATTATAGGCGTTGTAGATGCCGGCGATTCTTTGGATCTCTTTGCTGATCAGGGAATGAAGAGAACCGACGTCGGTGACCGTGGCTTGGTTAATGGCACCCAGATTGGCCAACACAGTCTGGAGCTGATGTTTGAGGAAGCCAATCTCCTCTTCCTTGTGGTGCAGTGACGACGAGGATGAGGACAGTGATGATGATGGCGGTGAGGTGGGCACAGACGTTGGAATACCACTGGCAGCATTAGTGAAGCCAAAAGAGTGGTGGGGAAGGGGAGGAATGTTGGAAGCCTCTAGCGATGAGGAGAGGGGTGGACACTCGATTGAGTTGGACGAGGAGCTCGGTGAAAAAGTGGAGGAGGTTGTCGCAGTCGTTGGTTCGACAACAAGTGGAGGGAGAAGATGGTTCTTGGTATCCTTGGCCGAGCTAGTGGAGGACAGCAAGAGGAGGCTCATGGGCGACTCCTCGTCGTCGTAGATGGGATCGTCGTCTTCGATGTTGACGTCGTCGCTCTCGCTATCTTGCTTGTGCGACGACTTGGAAAAGCTATCGACGACCGGAGGAGATCAGAATGGGGATGGTCGGGATGGGCGCTTGGTGCATCACCTTCAACTTCTTTTTCAACTTGGGCGTGGAGTTGGACTTCGATGAAGTGATAGGTGCGCAGGCCGACGCAACG